CGTTTCTCTAGTTTATTTATTTGAGGATCAAATTTATCAACAAACAAATTTCATATTGTAGAATTTGAGCTCAATGCTATACTCATAAAATTTAATTTTTTTAAATACGTCAAATCATTTTTGAATAGTGCATTAAATCACCATCAGATAAGTCAGTAAGTTAAACAATGGTTAAAATTCCTTTTTGGTCCCTGAACTATTGTACGGACCCCCTGATTTGGTCCTTAAACTAAAAAAATTTCTGATTTGGTCCCTACTGTTTACCATTTTTACCCCGATTTGGTCCTTCCGTTAAAAATTGTGTGACGTGGCCTGTTATTTCACGGTTACCAAATGACATGTCATATAGTAATCCACGTGGAAGATAATATAGCCAAAAAAAGTAATGACGTGGAAAAAATAATAATATAAAAAAATATTATGAAAAATAAAATTTTAAATTTTTTTTTCTTTTTTCTTTTTCTTTTTTCTTTTTTCTTTCTCCTTTCCCTTTCCCTTTCTCCTTCCCCTTTCCCTTCTCTTTCCCCTCGGAACCTAACAGGCCTGGGTTCCTTGCGAACCCAACACATTTGCCCGGGTTGGGTTCCAAGGAACCCAAGCGCTTGGTTCCCTTGAACCCATGCCTGGGTTCTTCGAACCCAGCTGGTTCGTCGCTGGGTTCTTTGGAACCCAACGACGAACTAGTTGGGTTCCATGGAACCCGACCTTGGGTTCGAAGAACCCAGCATGCCTGGGTTCTTCAAACCCAGTTGGTTTGCCGCTGGGTTCCATGGAACCTGACCCTGGGTTCCGTCGAACCCAAGCATGGGTTCGAAGAACCCAGCTGGTTCGCTGCTGGGTTCTTTGGAACCTAACGACGAACCAGCTGGGTTCCATGGAACCAGACCCTGGGTTCCTTGAACCCAGGGGTAAAAAACATATATATATTTTTTGTGGGTTTGGTGTTTGATGATGATGAAGAAAGCAAGGCAAGGAAGAGGAAGGAAAAAAAAAAGGGTGTTGTTGGGTTCGATTCAACTCAGGTGCTGGGTTTGTTTGCTCGAGAAAGAAGATAATGGCAAATTCGTAATTTTGGTGGGCCCCACTTTTGTTGAGGTGGGCAAGGACATGACATGTCATGTTGCCATGTCATTATTTATTCATTTATACAACTGACGTGTCTCAAATGTTTGACATGTCATTAAATTTTTGTGAGATAACGGTGAGATTTTAACGGAAGGACCAAATCGAAGTAAAAATGGTAAACAATAAGAACCAAATCAGAGATTTTTTTAGTTCAAGGACCAAATCAGGGGTCCGTAAATAGTTCAGGGACCAAAAAGGGGTTTTAACCTTAAATAATTGATACTCAACAATATAAATTAAATGTGTTGGGTGCCGATGAGGGAGGCTTTGGCTCTCTCCATTTCTTTTTCAGTTTTTCTTAAGCCCACGTCTTCTCCTTTCCCTCTGTTTTTCCTCTCCATCTCCATGTCCTCCTACACAAATACAAACCCCACACCACCGCACCCCACCCCTAAAGAAAAAAAATTTCATTTCTGTTTTCGTTCTCCCTTTTCCCTTCTTAAATGGAAGATGCAAACTTATTCATAAAACGAATGTAAATATACCGACGCGCAAAGTAGAGCCTAATTTTCTAAAATTCCAGCATAGGCTGCTTGATAGCATAGTGCCCCTTTTTCCAGCCGAATTGATACAGCATGATCCGTATCGTTCTTGAGTTGCGCACATTCAGCTACAAAACTTGAAGCCATTGAAGCTGAATGTGCACGACTCAGGAAGGATACGGACCTCATGATCAGGCAGAGTGCTGCGAGCAAGCTTAATCTGTGTTTCATGCTCAAAATGCTTAAGGCTTGCGAAGAAGGCGATTTTCTTAAGGCCACCCGGCTGCTTCGGTTGGTTTAGTTCCTCAATCCTCATCTTGTTCCTTTTGCTTTTCCATGCTAAAGTGAAAGGGAATTCTGCTTGACATTTTCATTTTACTTTATCTATTTTGCTGCACGATATTGACCAGGCAGAATGAGCAAAGGCAGGGATCTATATAATGGACAAATGAGGAACAAAGGCAGGGTTTCGATGTAATGGACAAGTAAGGAATAATTGTTAGTAGGATTAAGCTATTTGTTATTGTGTTCTATCTTCTTCTTTTTTTTTGGTGGAACCTGATGCTTTGTTGTTCTGGCTATTGTTAAACTCTGTGTTTCTCATTTCCAGTTTCATTGTGTTGAATTGCAGATGGTGCTTTTGGAATTGTAATCGGAGTTTTTTCTCGTAGTTGTACGGTACTTTTAGTTTTAGGTATATGTATCCTT